ACCTTAGTCTGCACATATGGTCAGAGGAAAACCTACAGGGGCCAGTTCTCTCCAACTGTGAGAGTTCTGGGGATCAGATTCAGATCACCAAGGTTGGTAAATGTGCCTGTGCCTGCTGAGCCATGTTGCTGGCCATAGACCTCAAAAGTTTCCCTGGTGGAATTAGGGTAGACAAAGTGTGGTGTAAGTAAAAATTCACAAGTGGAGAAAATGGTGTGCATTAGTAGACAGAAGGGTGGAAGCACATTCCCTCCTCAAGTACACTTCTAAAATTCTTGATTCGGATAGGGACCAAGGTAAAGGTCTTGTGGAAATTATGCTTGTGTATGTGTGGGATCTCAACCCTTGGGAGGTTGAGCCAGAAGGATTCTGAGTTCAAGACCAGCCTGGACTACATAGCTAGACCCTGTCTATACAAAGCAATTAAATAAATGAAAAAATATATATAAACTGGGAAATGATAGAAAGATGATCAAATTTTGACAGTTTTCCAACGTCAAATGATTTCACTTATAAATGACATTTTCATAGATGAAACTAACATCTTGTATTAACATTAAGGACTCCTGGCTTTTGCTGTTTTCTCACCAGTAGTGAGCTATTCCTGCTCTCTTCTTCCAGAAGAAGTACCAGCTACTTCTTGTCTTATTGTCTTTCTTTCTCTTCAATGACCTTATCTTATGTATTATTCAACTTACCCTTTATTATGTATGTATTATCATTCAACTTATTATATATTTATACAATGCCCAGCTTTGTTATTCAACTAATTTTCAATTTAATCTTTATTATGTATTATTCTTCCTTATTGAGGAACAGGTTGCAAAAAGCTCAACATTTGTTTTTCTTAACCAAAAGGCCACCAGAAGCCATCTTGTCTATATTTTCAGTTCCTAAACATTTTTTTAAAATAGTATATGAGTGCATTAAAAATAGCAATGATGTCATTCTTAGGTTGGAAGTCTATTAGACTATAGACTTTCAAAATAAAATTAAGATAAAAACAATACAAGTTTGATTCGTGGTTAAAATGTAATGTCTAGAAACTTAGCCCTGAGTTCCCTGCATAATTGCCTTTTTATTTCCCCTCAGTCCATAGAGTTGTGTTTTCCTTTGAGAGGAATTCACTTTTGTGTCTCTGAGTGCTTAGCATAGTGCCCTTTTCATGCCACGTAGCAGTATTTCTGTATTGATTAATGGTCCTAGAATTAATTTCACTTAATGGGAGGACAAAGAAATGAAGCTGCATTCTCCTACTCTCCTGCTCTTTCTAAAGTCAACCCTTCTGCTTTGCCAGGTTTCATGCTACCATTCTCGTTTTTATTCTGAGTTATTTCATTATTAAATAAATAGGAGATCGCTTGTAGTCCTTGTCACCTTGTGGGCATCCCGCATCACACCGTTTCTGCTGTATCTTCACTGTAATCCTGTGTCCTGCATATGGAAATACTGCTATTATTAGACGCACATCTAAAAGAGCACCTCCACCCTGAAGTAGATATCTAGCCACAACTCACAAAAGCTAAGGGTATTATTTTGACTGGGAAAAATTTTAATTATGTAAATTAAAAGTGACAAAAATCACTCATAACCTTGGACTTTTACACAAATAACACTTGACTTTTCCTTTAAGGAAAGAGGCTCCAATGAGTTTGGCTGTGAGCATTTTGATGGCTGTGGTAGTTTTTGCACTTTTGTTCTTTTTATTTATTTATTTATTTATTTATTTATTTATTTATTTATTTATTCAAATTTGAAACAAGCTTGTTTTACATGTCAGTCCCAGTCCCCACACTGTCCGATCCTACCGTGTGCCTCCAGCAACCCCCATCAGCATTATTGTTCTTTGCAGGTGATGGCAGCAGGAGGACTGTGCTCTCCTTTTGAGTGCACGGTGAGTGTCACCCTTCTCCATGATGTACCACGATGTATGTGACACTTTACTGCCCATTCTAAGAAGATGTGGAAGACCAGTTTATTTTTTTAATTTACCAGTAGGCAGGAGTAAATGTAAAAGTCAATATGAAGTTGCCATCTTTTTAAAAACCACTGATCATTGACAGTTTGAAGCAGGGGCTGGAGTGATGGCTAAGCTGTTGTGCACACTTGTGCTTGCAGAGGACGGGGATTCAGTTCCCAGCACTCACATGGTGCTTGCTAGCATCTGTAACTCCAGTTTCCAGGATCCAGTGCCCTCTCCTGACCTGCACAGTCCACTAGAATACATATGGCATGTACATACATACGTACATGCAGGCAAAATGTTCATACACATAAACGAGTCAATCATTGAAAAAATTTAAGACATTTTGAATTGAAAATGCTGTAATGTCTATCATAAGGAGTGAAGTGGAGGCTTCTCTTTTAACAACAGATCTAAGTCAGCTTCCACCAGGGAAGACCTAATACTGAATAATTTCATTTAATGGCAGATAGTTCTTGGTGAAGCTTGGTATTATCTTTGATATTTTGAAGATGAACAGCCAAGATGAGCTTCCTTTTCCTATTTCATTTTTTTTAACCTTGTGCTTAAATTCTGCCCTTCACCCCTTTGTGGTAGCCTTAATTATTGTGACTTCATGAACAACTTTCTTTTCTTTTTCTCTTCTTGAGAACTATGTAAGAAACTGAAATCTAATAGATCAGTGGCCACCCATTTGTTAGAGGTGTGGCTTCTGCCTTCTGCTGTCTACTATGTTCAGTAGCACATACATCCCTTAAGTACCAGCGTGCTCAAAACACACATCAATTTTATTGCATGCCGTTAGCAGAACTCAGGTAGTTTTTCAAATGGTAACAAGCAAATGGTAACTGGTCTCTCACATTAATAACACTGGGAGGCCTTTTTCTTATTTCAGAACATTGTGAATAAAAATGCAGATCATATTTTTTAATGTTTGTGCTAAAGTTTTAGTGGTTTTCTTTGAACAGATAGAATCCTTTTCTTCTAAATATGCTCACAGAAAAATTAGAGGTGAAATTACATAACAAGAAATTTGCTTCAAAAGTAATGCAGAAATGTGCGTAAAGAGTCTGAGTGGGTAATGGCTGAAGTTGGCTGCTGGGCACAAGAAATCCATTATTATTCTGTCTACACATTTACAATTTTTGATGATAAGATATAAATTTTATAGGTTGTGTTATTGTTAGAGCATTTTAATATAAATTTATAAGCCTCCATAAAAATGAGCATCTCTTGAGATGTTAAATCCTGAGTCATCTTCTTCACCAATCAGAGGTGCCTGCTGGATATTCTGGTCAGACATGTTGCGTGATGAAATCTCATACTGACCCAAGATAATGACCTTTCACAACAGCCATTAATTCACCTGCATTAATTCTGTTCACTTATCTGTTGCATTAGTCTGTCCCACCTTTATTTCAGTCTCTCACTGTCTGTAGTTTGGCGGTGTTAAACTATTCCTGGAATAGATGGATAAAGCCATGAATACTTCTTTCAAGGCATGGTTTACAGTATTTTATAATTCTTCTTTTTTTACCTTCTTTATATTCCCTTGCTAGATCTTTAGCTTTATAGAATCAGGGAGAAAATCTAGTTTACAGTTTTATCCCCAAAACTGGTGTCATTTCTGGTATAAATGAGGCATCTAATCTATTCTTGTGAGGTGAATATATTAATGGTGAATCATGTGTCTTTTTAATTGGGCCTTCATAGTGAGTCTATTGTAGATATCCCACCCTCCACTTAATTTCTCAAGGGCGTGCTCTATCTAAACTGGTCATATGTTGCCCCTCCATAGAATTCAGACATGAGTACTTCAAATCAAGACTTTGCTCATGTGTGTCCTTCTAATTGTTTATCTACCTTCTTCATAGATCACATGAACTATTAAAGCATTTCACATTGTCCCAACACTTTTGAATACTTTTTTTTTTTGGTAGACCTGTTATCCTTATGTACATTTTGAAAATGGCACTACTTGAGGGCTGTTTTCCTTAATCTGGTCAGGCAGAGGAAAGCAGACCTCTGCACACAGAGGCTGGGAACACAACACCAAATGCCACGGTGTCTTCCTCTCCACTAGTGACAACTCTTTTCACAGCATTTCCCTCTTAGGGACAGCCAGTGTCCCTAAGGCAGAGATTGCTTTTTATTTATCTTAACACCCCTATTTACCCAGAAAATAGAGGAACCTGATATATACTTGTAGAGTGAATACGTTAAGGGATATATTTTTTATCTGTTTTTGCCAAACCAGAAAGTAAGTTTTCCATAAGAGATGTTAAGTCAGTGATTGCTGTTCATCCACTGGCACCCAGTCATCCCCTAGTTTGTTTTCACGATGCATATATCAACCCAAAATATAGTGCCCAATTATAGAAATCAAAGAAGTCCCAGTCACACGTGCTTTCCTCTCCTCCCCTTCTCTTTCTCCTACTTCTCTCTCCATTCACTGCCCCTCCCACACTTTCCATGTGCTCTGGGGGACTTGTCCCTTCCCCTTCTGTGAGGGACTTTATATAAATCTCTTAGAATACTGCAGAGTAGTATTCCATTGTGTAGATGTGCCACATCTTCTTTATACAATCTTCAGCTGAGGGGCATCTAGGTTGCTTCCAGGTTCTTGCTATTACAAATAATGCTAATGATAAAAAACAAAGAAAGAAAGGAAGGAAGGAAGGAAGGAAGGAAGGAAGGAAGGAAGGAAGGAAGAAAGAAATCAAAGAAGCCAGTCAGTTCTGGGCTACAGCCTGTGGATTTTCAGATCTTCTGGGTTTCTTTAATAATTTGGGTTAACTTCAGTGGAGAATGTTTCTAAAAGATACTTTAGAACACTAGAATGGCTGGGTCTTGGACTTCGTGTGTAGATTTTTTTTTCTTTCTTTTCTTTCTTGTTTTTCTTTCTTTTTTAATGAGCGAAAGCAAAAGAATCCCAGAGTATTGGGAAACTAGATCTATTATGTTGACATGAACCTCATTGCTTAAGAAGGCCAAGCAACTTGAATATGTCCCTTCCCCCCCCCCTCTTTTTTTGCAGATATGTCTTCTCCAACTACAATGAAGAAGCCTGAGAAGCCACTATTTAGCTCTACATCTCCACAGGATTCTTCCCCAAGATTGAGCACTTTCCCCCAGCACCATCATCCCGGAATACCTGGAGTTGCACACAGTGGTAAGGAGTTTCAAGCTGAGAGGAAAGGCTCTTTTCTGCATGCAAACACTTAAGTGTGGAGGGGAAGTTTATTATCGTTGCCATGGTGACTATATCCTGTCCACCCAAAAGGGAGGGTTGCTAATGGACAAAATATTTCTTCTTATCAGTTTGTGAGAAAATATTTAAGATTATATAATTTAACATGCTTACATTTGAAAATTAAAAATTTTAATTACTAAAACTTTCAAAAATGAAGTATATATTTATCTTAACTTTAACCACAAATTGGCCCTAGTTTTATATGTGCTGCTAGAAGAAGATGGAATTCCAAGTATATTCATGAGTTTAGGTTTTTTTGTTTTTTTTTTTAATAGGAACTAAGAATATAAACACTATGTCTATGGATGATATATTCTGTCCATAAATAAATAGTTACTTACTTGGGAGTAAAATTAGTATGAAAATACATGATACCTGTTCTACATGCATAAATATTTCTGTCTAGGACAAATGATATGTCTAATAGCTTAATTAAGAAAGAATATTCATATTTATATTTTAGTGTAACAATAGTACAACTTTGAAAAATCAAAACCTATATACAATTAGTAATCAGTACTGAATACTGGGTACCTATTACTTTAAAACCTCCTAGAGAGTAATGGTTTGATAGTTTTATATATTTCTCTATTTATAATTATATTCTTACTGCTTTTAATTTGTAGCTAGATATTCCTTATCCTATTATATCTAGTTTTTAAATCTTCACTCATAAGTAGTAACATGAGGTTTATTGTTGCTTTATTTAAAAATACATGGTTTTAGTTGTTATCACTAATGAAATTATGAAACAGGTAGGATTATACAATTTAGAGAATAGTATAAGAATTTTCATTTTAATTGTTTTATCTTTTGAGCTAAGTGGGAAAAAATCAGTAACCATTTCATAGGTGTTCCCTATTTGGCGACAATTAATTTCCAGATCATGGCATCTATATTATGATACCTGATTAAGAATTCATACTTTAATAGTTTAAATAATTAAGTAGTATTTTATATAATAAAACATGAAGCTACTATAATAAGTTTTACATTTTAGTTTTCTGCCAAATACTTAAATATCTAAAATACCAGTCATATGTACAATTAGTATATTTAATAGGTACCTACCTGTGATAGGAACCTTGGTCAAGGCAAAAGATTTTGTTCTTAAAGCACTAATAATACAGTAGGGGTCATTGGATCCATCCCTGAACAAGTATATAATTTCAAGAAGACTGGGCATTGGTGGAAGTATCTATGCCTGGAAGAAATAGGTTTTGATCTAAGTTTTGAGGGTGGATTAGCCCAAAGAAGCAACAGCAAGCCAGCAAGATGCCTGTTTCAGACAAAGGCAATAATAGGTTCCAATATAGTATGTTCACAGCAGCAAGTAATTACCATGTGACTGAGGACCCAAAAATTCTCGAATGGCCAATGCCTGAAACACAGGAGAAACCACACATATCTGTGAAATTGCTGGGACTCTATTATAGAGACAATAGGAAATCAATTAACAGATATTTTAGCAGAGATATTACACAAATGCAATGGTATTTTTTAAAAATCATTGGTACAGAACTATAAATGTAGTTCTGGAAGGATCCAGACTAGAGGAAGAAAGACAATTAGGAAGAATTTGCAATAATGCAAGCAAAAAATACACATGTATGTTTTCTCTTAAAGTGAATGAAAACATTTCTGTTGTGTAATTGGCTTTTTTATTCTTCTCAAAGGATTAGAATATCTTTTGTTGATAAGGTAGTCATTTTTACTTTCATTTTGAAATATAAAATCCTATCTGCTTATTTTGAGTCTATTGCGGTTCCTGAACTAGCCAAAGATTTCAGTTCAAACTTGTATTATGCTGGTTCTACTGCAAAGAGACTTTTTTTTTTTTTTTTTCCAAAATTGTTGGGACCAATGAGTTCTCAAGCCCCGAGGCACAGATCGAGCCGCCTGTATATTTCAAGGGTTTACATACACATGTGAGCAAAATCCATAGTTAAACTGGCCTGAGATTAAGATCACTTAATCACATATGACTTTGGGTGTAGTTCATTAGTAGAAAGCACTTGGTCCTGGCCCAGGGTTTAAAAAAGCAAAACAAAACAAAAACCTTAGACATTAAGTTAAAAAGATGCCCGATTTTCAATAAACACCTGCATTTCCTTAAATTATGCTTCAAGTGAGTGTACAACTTAGAGAAATACTTGCAGAACATCTGTTGTAAAAAAAATGTACAGCTATTCTCCAGTGTGTCTGGTGGAAGGATTACTTAGGGAAAAAATTTAAACAATTATTCTATTGCTATGCCTCTGAAGAACCTGAGGACCAGTTTCCTAGATTTGTCAAAGTAAATGTGTAGTTCTTCAGTATGCACTTCTATGTTTTTATATCCTGAGTGCTTTCTTTGAAAAAAAAAAAATAACAATGTCTCTTAGGGCTCCCTTCCTCTCCCCTCTCTCTTTTTCTCATAATTACAAAGTTGAAGATGATCATTACAGACAATCTTCACTTGTAGTCATGAAGAGACTTAGTTGTCACATTGTTTCTTAAACACATGGAACATCATTTGTATTTTCATATGACTTGGATCAAAATATCAAAGCAATAGAGATTTAATATTTACTCCTATGTATTTGTTGTCTTAGTAATTCTATAATTATCACCAACAACTTTATAGAGATAATAGCTAAAATATATTCTTCATGTTTAAGATTTTAAAATTATTTTTCCAAACTAAATATTATGACCATACTATTATAGAAAGCTATCATTGAACATTATCTACAACACATATAGTACTTCCCTCTGTCAGTAGAACATATTGTAAAACATATGGGTAAATTTATATGTTTACCTATACAAAAACTTAAATTAACATTCTTGTGAGTTTTATTCTTGATCTTACCTCAACAATACTTTTGAGCTTCAGTATAGTAACAGCTGGAGTCAGAATAAAATTAGCCATAGGATAAAGATCTTTTGATTTTGAAAGGAATCATCTTCATTGTGAGGAAGAGTCTGGTCCCATGTTCAAGAGTATTTACAGAGCGAGCAGATCATTATTCATGACCTGACATTTTGATCTGTTAATTGTTGGCTTTCATTTTAAACAAACTGTCAACTAGATTGTATAGGGAAATGATTTATTTGAAATTGAGTTGCATTTCTATTTTGAGTTGTAGTAGAAAATTTGTAGGGCTCTTTCTTTCTAATCAATGCTGTAGCCTGGTCTGGATTTAGGGAGACAAAGACTTGTAATTGAAGAGTATATCTTGAATGGAAAGGAACTTACTCAAAGAAATGTTTTGTCTAGTTCTACTATAAGCTGTATAAGTGGGCTTTTGAAAAAAATTTTCTTGGGTCTGGAAGGAAAGATGGGTTTGTTGTGGAGGGTGCAGTTATGTCTATATGTTCATAGTGGTGCTAGCATTGGGAAAACAAAATGAAAGGCGGTTTATTTAATTATGGAAATGAGTGAATAAACAGGCTTCATTATTTATAGCACTGGGAATGAGTGCAGCAGGAAGGCAATCTTCTGACCAGCCAGTCTTTGTGTTTTGTTGTTTTTTTTTTTTTTTTTTTTTTTTTTTTTTTTTTTTATGTGTTCTGCAGTCATCTCAACTCGAACTCCACCTCCACCCTCACCGTTGCCATTTCCAACGCAAGCAATCCTTCCTCCAGCCCCATCAAGCTACTTTTCTCATCCAACAATCAGATATCCTCCTCATCTGAATCCTCAGGATACTCTGAAGAACTATGTCCCTTCTTATGACCCATCCAGTCCTCAAACCAGCCAGGTAAAAACAAGAGAAAACAAGTAAACATAGAGCCTGAGGGGCATGGGACAGGCCTAGTTCTAAGACACAAGGTTAGTCAGAAAGTATACCTTGAACATTAAGCTTTGCAATTCTTCCCCAGAAAGTTTCTTGGTGACTCAATAAGGGTTTTTTATTTTTATTTTTATTTAAAGGTGGCTGAATGACAGGTAGGAAGTATGTTGCCCCAAAGGGATACATTTAAGAAGTTGTTTTGGGTTTAATGTTATTGGATTTTCATTGATTGAAAGAAAGTGTATGCAGAATGTTCATTGCCAAGACAGCTCTGAAATACCTGGTTTAACCTAGAGACAAAGTGCTTATTTCAGGCAGGAGCAAGGTATGTGCTAAAATAAACACTCACAAAAGAACTTACAGCTGTATTTATAGGCCAGCTATTTGGCATTAAAGCCAGCTTTGGTAATGTAAACATTTTCAGCAACCTTTGATGACTCCTGAAGCTTCTCAGAGACATGATTTACATTTAATAATGAGTGGCATTTCTAGCTCTCTCTCTCTCTCTCTCTCTCTCTCTCTCTCTCTCTGTCTCTCTTTACCTATCCACCCGTCCATCTATCTATCTATCTACCTATCAATCAATCATCTATCTATCATCTATCTATCTATTATCTATCATCTATCTATCTATCTATCTATCTATCTATCTATCTATCTATCTATCTATCTATCATTATTTATCTTAGTCTCTCTCAGCATCATGCAGAGGTTTTAGGGATTCGTTGTATGAACATAGTACCTCTTGTGCATTTCTCATTCTAGATGAATATTTTTTTTTCTGGTGATAGGTCACTGCATAGGAATTTCTCACAGGAGTATTTTGCACAGCCAACTAGATAGTCTTTGTATCACTAATGTGTCTAACAGTAGTTCTAGTATCCAAGTCTTTAATGTAATTTTGATCTTATGGTCTAGTATCAGACTTTGCTGTCTTATTTCAAAAATTCCTGTCCACTTCTAACAACTTTTAAGATTTTGGGGAAATTTATATAATGTTTTATGATTCCACTGTAAAGTTGTACTAAAATTAGAGTACATGAGTATATGTGTATCAATTATAAAGTTGGGGGGGGCACTTTTGTGTTAGTTTGTTAAATGAAGGATGGTCCTTCCTGGGTGTTTTATTTTAAACATAATATACTTTACCTTTTGTGTGGTTTAGAAACTACCTTTGCTTTTAGTTTACTAACTACTGTATAAAACTAAGTTGAACATCTATTTGTATTTAGAAAAAAAATGTTCATGTGATGTAATGATGAGACTAAAGACGACCAAGTAATGAGTAAGATCTTAGAATACCAGTTTAGAAATGAAATTTGCGCTCACAGTATGGATTCAAAAGTCTCTGTTCCATAGAGTATTTTTGCTAGACTCATCTGGGAACAGTGCACACAAGGTCTGATTTTAATTTGTGTAGAATTTCCATGAATAACAAAGTCTAATTAAGACATCCATTAAAAGTCCTTAACGTTAATTCAGTGTGGAAAATCTTAGAGTTCTATTGGATTTAAAAAAAAAAAAAAACTGATGTCTTAATTAGGCACTGTTAAAGGGGAAATTATGCAAATTAAAATCAGGCCCTTAGTGTTATGCATTTCTTTAATTATTCAGTGCTTGTTTTACATATATTTCGATTTCTTTATGTTAAAAGTGTGTATTAGGTGATAATATGCCTCTTTTGTCACAGTTTTTCTGTGTTTTCAAAGTGAAAGTCCATCTTCTAGAGAAGCCCCCTACTTCCATCTTAGTTGAAAGCTAAAATCAAAAAGAAAATTTAAGAGTTTTATATACTGTAAGGAATGTAGTAAATAGCATAGTCCATTGCCAGTGCTGTTCAACTTCAGACAAGACGCTCCTCTCTGTGTCCACCAGCAGCTGGAAAGGTAGATGCTTTAGAACATAGCTTCACTTGTCTGAACTGGTGGAAAAGTGGAGTGAAACCTTCCTTTGGCCCTGGTGTTTTAGAAAAGTCTGCAATGGACTTGCGTGCTCTCGTTTGTCCTTTTTCCTACTTTTGTATGGGAGAACAGCTGTCCATTCGTAGTCATTCAATTCCTGTAGACACCGTGTGCACTGCATACACTTACCTTCTGTGGCACCATTTCCTTGAGGTTCTTGCCATTTGACTCCTGCTTCAGGTAGGTATGCACTCTTTTGGTGAACATTATGCAGAAACACTTTTGCATTTGACTGTACCACCAGCACAAAAACTGAGAGCTATCTTCTTTTCAAGACATACAAAAAGCTGTCATTTACAATGTTCCCATAGCCAGAAGTTGATAATGTCTATTTTTAAGAAACAAACTACCACTGACTTAGAAAGAAAAATGTCTTTATGGTGAATGGTAAAAATGTATTTTGGGGGAGAACATTATATCTGCTTTGATGTTTAGTTCCAAACTCTAAGCCAGTTAATTTGCATTTCAGAATAGGACTGTTGTTCTGCATCTTCCAGTGCTGGAGATGGGAATGAGTACTGGTCCCCAAGCCCTGCAGTCCTGGCTGCTGCTTCCCAATCTCATCCAGCACCATGCTGATCTGGATTCTTAAAACTGAGATGCTTTCTCCTCCCCACAGCAATGTGGAGATTAATTCCATTACTGCTGCACCAATTACAGTGAGACAATCCTTCTAGTCAGTGAGCTATTTTGAATAAAATTGGTTTAAAGATATAATTCTCCTATAGGTTTCCGTTAAGGAAAACTCCAGTTTATTTTCCTGATATAAAAATTAAATATTTACAATTATCCATGATGATTAGGTAAGATATTCAAAATCAATTTTAAAACTTAAAATAGAGGAAGTGGGCTCTGTGTAACCCACCCAAAGGCTCAATCCATGGCTCTAAGTCAAAATGTTTAAGGGCTATTAGCTACTTTTCTCTAAAGAAAAATCCAGTTATAATTCATGTGTGAGTATTTAGGTATATATTGTTTCATTGATTACTGTGGGAAGTTGAGAATAAATAGATCATTGGGAAGTTGGGAATAAAAAGATCATACATTTGTGGAGAATACTTCCCAGAAAATTATTAGGCAGACCATGCAGTGAAGAATTGTTCCATGAGTGTAATCCAAAATAGCATTCTCTACCTGGCATAATATATTTCAGACATTGTTTGGACAGTGTATCCTTAGGTTTTTGTCTCCTACCACAGTAACTATTTTTCTATCGAGTGGCCAAAACTCAAGTAATGACATCTTTTCTGAAACTGGGCATGGGGTTTTCTTCATTAATTCTCATAAAAAACTACACACCTCTTCATGCACAGTGATGGAAGGCTGGCAAACAGCACTGTGCATTTTATGGTCCTCATGTCCACTTCAGTGCATCGTATCCATTTTCTTTGGGGGATGTTTTATTCCTAAGCCTAATGTATGACTTCTGCAGTTTATGGCTCTGTGTGCATTGGGAATCTTAGGTGTGTCTGATCTCATTCTATCTGCTTGTGTTAGGAAATCGTTGAAAGTGGATCAGATACCTTAGAGTCTAAATTACTTGATATGTGTGTCTGAAATACCTGTGTGTGAGAAAAAGTGAGAGTTTTATATGCAGAAGAATGAATTGTCAACTGGAAATTAAGGAAACTGTATAGTGTTGGATATGTTTCCTACCCTTGACATTCTTGTATCCCTACGTCAGTGATACCATTGTTTAGTAGGAAAATATTGTACAGAGAGATAAACTGAGAATGAGGAGCATAGTATAGGGTGGCTGGGGTCTTCCTATCAAGCGTTCAGAAAGGAATTTCACTTTAGCTTTAGCTAGGCATCGGCTTCCCTCCATGTGAGTTTTCTGGCCACTACACGAGAGGGTCAGGTGGACTGAACTTCTAGGGGTGCTGTAAAGAGGAAATCACCTGTGCAAAGTGTATTAATTTTCAAAACCTTCCTTTAAATACTGTCGCTCCTGCTTCTTTCCAGTAACCATTGATTGGCCCCCAGCTCGGACTTGAGAGGGCCCCATGCCGGCTCTCCACCCTGTGAAGAATCCACGTGCGTGTGCTGAGTGGAGTGGTTGGACAGGATGACTGCCTTTTGGATTGCTTCACCCGGCATTCTGTTTTTGTTTTGTAGCCTAACAGCAGTGGTCAAGTAGTAGGGAAAGTGCCTGGCCATTTCACTCCTGTCTTGGCACCCTCTCCCCATCCCAGTGCAGTGCGACCTGTGACCCTGACCATGACAGATACTAAACCCATCACTACATCCACTGAAGGTGAGGCAGCTTCACCTACAGCAACCAGTAAGTATTTCTGTAGGAAATGAGAAATGTCCATCGAAGAAGGCACCATTGGATGTATGGATCCAAGGTGGAAAATACGGGGACTTTTCCTGCTACCTGAGCAGATGGAGATTTCTCATTTAAGTGGAGCTAGCAGGCATGTGTGTGGCCCAGCTGTCACATGCTCTCTCTTATCAAATTTCCATTAGCACATCATTTTTGACAAGGGAGAAGTATGCTTTTTTTTTTTTTTTTTTTTTTTTTTAGAAAGCGGCCACAATAAAAAACCCATGCCTGCTTGTTCAAGGTAGACAATGAAATTACACTGATAACACAACACAGTAGACAAAGGTTTTATATCACCAGAAGAGAGATTAGATAATTATTACTTATTGGGGCATTTCTAAAAATCAAACCCCTCCCCCAAGTGAATGGAATCAGTGCCCCTGCAAGATAATTACATGTTTACCTCATTGTAGGTTTTGTCATTATGAGAGGCAGCCACCCATTGTGCTGTGCAGGCAAAGACACTGGGAAGCATAGGCTTAAGTACATGTAAGGTACCTACACTTTCATTATATACAACTTTTTCTTTAATCACTCAGCTGTTTTGGCTATCACATTACAGTCAGACACTCTGCTTATTAGCATGGCTCTACCATTATAAACGTCAGCTGTAGGTAGTATTCTGTGTAGCACACATTAGTAAGCCAAATGATTCCTCCATTCAGAATTAGATAAGGAATACATTTTCAGTTGGCTTCACCCGAACTACCAGCTCTTAGAGGGCACTGATGTACACAGATGGGCCACTGATGAAGTTTCACCTGGGAGGCACTAGCATGTTCCCTCGCCGTGGTGCATTTCTTATATTCTGATGGGTATTTTTTTTTTTCTTGCAGAGAGCAAGGAAATCCCTTGTTCTCTGGAAACTCCCTTGTGGAATTACACCATCAGAGATATAGTTGGTTTTCAGTCTCTCTCAGCCATTGGAAAAACATTCTGTTTTTGTTTTTTGTTTTTGTTTTTTTTATGATTTCTATAAACATTGAAAGAAACTTTTCTAAGAGAAGGTGGACAATACCTTACGGATACAGTGAATACTCAGCATTTGTTTATCAGAATTCATGAGCCCTACAAACTAGTAACCCCAGATAGGCTTAGAATGTGCATCACTAACAGGCAATGCTTGGTAATTAGCTTACTGGCAAATAGTTCTATCCCAGTGAGCACTTCCTTGGATGCAAAGATGGGTGAGACTCTTCTCGATGTTTCCTGTGTACATCACAATCATGGAGACACTATGTGCATGCTTTTAAAATGAGCATCACAGCATCTTTGAAACAAGACATAGTTTGAGTAAAATCATATAAAATATGATTTTAAAAGGTAGTCAAAAGACTACCCAGGATAAATGATCAAAACCAAAGTTTCAGGAACTTCTAGTGCTTACTTTATGCTGACACCATACATCAAATTTAGAAGAGGATCCAGTCCAGATAAGCACAGCCCGTTTCCAGGTGTGACTTCAGTCTGGTTGATAATGAATTGCTTGTATACTCATGCAGGGGTTGTTCAAAAAGAGATCTGATATGACTAGTAAAATTTCTAAAATATTCTAAGCGAATATCTAGCATATATAAAGGTGGCTTCACTAGCCCTTTCTTCACTTCTATATAAAATAAATACACTGAGTAACACAACTGATAATGAGGAACTAGATGTTCAATTTATACGTCAGTCAAGTTAAACAGAGACCAAGGAAGCTTCCCTTTAATGATTGGAAAACAAAGAAACAAGCAACCCAGCCATGGTGTTCACACTGAGAGTAAGGCTCCTTTCTCTCTTTCCAGACTGTGCATTGAATTCTCAAGGTTTAGTGATGGGTGGGGAACACTGGTTGCTAATGGCCACCCTTGCCTTATTTAGCAGGAATTAGAACATAACTTTCGAGTGTCCTCAGTGTTTTTAAAGCATGACCTAAAAGTCCCCAAGTTCAAATGATGCATTTTTAAAGTGAACATGAAAAATTACTATATAATTTTAAAAGCTAGCCTAGTTAAAGTCACTGTCTGAATTCCTAACTAATTATAATGGCTTTAAGCCTTTTCAGACCCTGTAGTGTAACATATGTTACAGACTCGGTTTTTCTGTTGGACCAGAGATGGAGAATAGGCTTGATTCTTCATTTCCTTGTAAAAGGTAGATTTAGAAATGAGAATATTTCTTGGGGCAGTTCACTCCACCGGAAAAGCACATGTGCAAAAAGCAATTGTAAACTAAAACACAGCAATGTGACGAGCTGTCACCTTGCATCTACTCTACCTGGTACACAAGTACCCAGTAGGTACTATCAGTTCGTGCCTGGTCTATCACAAGCAATTGACAGTTGGTTTTAAACTTATGGAAAGTGAAGGGTTTTTGTCTCTTGTTGTTTTCTTCCTTCCTTCCTTCCTTCCTTTCTTTCTTTTTGTCAAAAATGTTTCTCCCAAGCTGGAGGACATTCCCCATATTAGATAAAAGATAGAGCTATGTGATGTAATCCAACCGGGCTCCTCTTTTAGAAAAGTAGTAGTGGATTTTTGATTTGGGGGAGGGGGTTACACATTTGAGTAAAACATTTTTTCAGCTCATCATCATCAAGTGTATCTGCTTAGCCCTTTCACTCTTTATTATCACTTCATCTATTTCCACATTTAGAATCACAGGCAGCCATTATTGATTATTCCTTAGATGCAGGTGAAAGGTGCATCTACCAGAAACGGCTTCAGTGCAGCTGAACCTCAGCATCTAGTCAGTACTGCAGCTACAGAACACAGTGAGGACAGCCACACCAAAGCATAGGCTGTGGTTCATTGCACAGAGTTTTTTGTTTTTGTTTTTTAGGGGGGGATCAGTTACTTTGAATTCAATGACCATTTCTTTTCTGTTATTTGCTATTCACTCAGACAAAAGAGAAGGGAAATGGAGACACCTTTTTGGTAGTAACTCCTACTTCTCTAGGTTCTTATACATGGACAGGGTGTTCATTCTGACAGTTCACAATTTTTATCTTTGTTTTTGTTCTTCCTTAATCAGCCTACACAGCCTCAGGCACATCTCAAGCCAATCGATATGTGGGACTAAACCCAAGAGACCCATCCTTCCTGCATCAGCAACAGGTGGGCACGTTTCACCCAGGTGGAATGGGGTAGCCACGCTTTGCTTCGGCGCTTTTCTCCATATCGCCTCTCAGATCTGGATTCAGGATGGGGCTCACGGGGCTTCTGAGACCAAAATTGATCATTTTGTTTTCCAAATTTTTTTCTCATTTATCCTTTGCTTCTCACTTATCTGAAGTTTCTCAAACTGGCTCACAGCCTCTTCCGTCTCCGTCTTCATAGCACATAGTGAGACCATCCACAGACACTGTTGTGTTCCAGCCAGACAGTATTGTTCTGTCTTACTGGATAGTGAGGACATAGTAGCCCATGTGGCTTTCAGGCACTGACATGGAAAAGGAGTTTGAGAACTAGCTAGAGTCAATACGTATTTTGTTTTCTCCAGATGTTTCACTCCTCCTTTATATTTTTCTCCAGGAGAAGGATGCCTTCCAAGGCTGAACTCACAGGTGAAACATTATTCCTACTTCTAGTACATTTAAATTGGTTCACTGATTTCAGATGCAACAAAACACTTTTTTTTTTTTTTTTTTTTTGAGGGGGAAGAATTCTGCCTTCTTACATCATTTATGTTTCAAGTAGCATTTTAAATTTCACATCTCATTAATGCTGTAAATTTAATGCAAATGAAGTGTTTACCCAAACTGTGAAAAACTACAGCCAGGATTAATGGTGGCTCATAAACAAATTAGCCACAGTCCACAGCATGCACCATACCAACATAGAAATCCCATGATTCTAGTTATAGGGTCAAAGGAATACTTCCAAGCAATTCAGAATTGAAATGTATTTTATGAGGCATATGCTTGCTGCTCTTAAGTTTGAATACAGAGCAGTTTGAAGTTAACAGTATGTAAAACATTACATAAGAAAAGTAAGCCACAGTACAGAAGACAGAGCTGGGAATAAACACCAAGTTGTCTATGTGTTTATATGAGGTTTATGTATGTATCAAGCATTCGAAGTTACTTGTGCCCACTGACTTAGTTGTAAATGGCTTCTCTAGCTTTGGCTTCCTGTTCTTCAGGCCTTCCCTTTCATGGGCCAAGGTGATAGACTGTGTATAGTAAAGGTCACCACATGCAGGGTTCAGAGAAAACCATAAAGATGATAGCTCATTCAAGATACTTGACATTTTGCAAGGTTAAAATAACAAAACAGAACACGAGAGAACTGACTGAAGACATCTGTATATAGTTATGGAAATACCAAATAATAATTAGTGGCTTTGCCAGCCAATGGCTTCAACATAATTCTCTGGAATGTTGCCTTTTTTCACCTCTAAAATTGCTATAATATGAGTGTGTTATAACAACTATGGTTATATTTAACATATGTATGTGTTTATTGTGTTTTTAAACATATGCTGGATTTATAAGTTTTGGAAACTTGTTTTTTTTTTTAAATCAGTATACATTTTTTTCAGAAATATTTTTGTCATGAGACTTGCCATTATTCTTTATGACACCTCTCTAATTTCTAGTTAATTTTTAATTAAAAAACCATGGCTCCATTATTTAACCTTTAACCGCCAAACACATTTAGAGTATTAGAACCAACCCCATGCATTGAGAAGCAATTGTCCTCTTTCCTTGCTCTAACTAACCCAGGGCAGCTTTAGTTTGTATCAATTAAGATTAATGTCAGGGTTTCCTGTAATGACAATCACAAAAATTCAATTATACCAAACCTACTTCTTTCTTAACATTGTCTAAAGATGCATCAAGAAGCTCAACACAATGAAAACATGGACCTCAACATGGGCAGGAATCTGGGTATCTTTTAATCTGAGGAATATATAGGACACTTTCTTATAGTCTGACATCTATTATTTAAGTGGTCAGTGTTGAGTAAAGACCACTTACAATGTGAATATACTTTCTGAGTTCAAATGTGGTTGCTATTTATGAATATATGGTATGTATTATTCCTTGGAAGCAAAGAGCCATATACTCCACAGTTAAAAATTTTAAATACTGAGCAGATAGATAATTTATCTCTTATATAATGAAATTTTGATTTGAAGAAACCCAGTTTGCCAAATTCATAATGAACTATGATTTTGAGGCATGACGCAAATAACACAAATGTATGTCCTATGATGTAAGCATATCACTTAAGTGAAGCACCCGTTCAAATCTATTATCTTTACCTTTTCAAATTAAGAGCAGTAGAGATGAAGCTGCATAGTCGCTACACAGGAATGGAGAGAGAACAAAATAGTTTAAATGACTTCAGGAAAGGTTATTCTCCCTCCAGCAGAAATGAGATTGATTTACTGTGTCCTCTCATTACTTTACGGAGATTTAAAAGAGACCACTCTTCCAAGGGCAGCTCCTAAATGCATTTGGTTTAAAGCACTCAATGATGAATGCAAAGGAAAATCAAGGGGTACATGAAATAAAAGTGATCAATCATTTTATATTAGCTGGGAGAAATTCAAAATTAGAAAGGCAGTGGCTTTAGTCCGGAGGAGCTTTTTAAACATCCTCCATAACCTTTAATATACATGACCCCTTAAAAATAAATATTGTCACCAGGTACATTCTTCAGTTCATGTGGATTGCTTTATAAAGATTTATCTTTTCAGCTTATGAAAAGTATTGATGTGCATTGTTGCTTGCTAATTTTGCCCTTAGAAAAGGACTTTAATATAGCTTGCATAAATTAAGGTTAACAATAAATTTAAGATTATTGGATATTTTTTACTGTCTTCTAAATGACATCACAGAAGGGCTTTCACTATACCTCTTTCTAACACATGATCACTCTGGCATTTCTCAAATGAAATGTAAAATATTAAAGTACACCCACACTAGCAAATTTGAATGGCAGTGCCAATACTTTGATGCTTAGGTGCTTGTTACACACCGTTATTAATGGTCACACATTTGTGAGCTCCTTTTATTATTCCTGACTCATGCCAGTTCTAACTGCCCTGAAATATTGTGTTTTTTCTGATGTTGGAATTTCACCTAAGTATAAATATCATATTGCATTTAAATTAAAGAAAATAAAGTCACTTAATTATGGAAAGTATTTCAGAAAGGTTCACATAAGGCAATTTCTAACATGTCATTAAAAAAAAAAAAAAAAAACAGTCCTCTCAGTGAAGTGTAATAACACAGAGCATATAGCTAATCAGGACTTGGCTTTATCTCCTATCAGTTTTGAGCATTGTTCAACGCACTAACATCCCTTTGAAATCATTGGCTGACTTAATGCATTCGCCACTGGCCTAGGAGAAATCTTCAAACCAGTACTTCAACAGGAGCTTCATTCTGCTCGTAACTTTTCTGTTGGAAAATGGTGTGGTGTGGCTTCAAGAACTCTGGGATCCTGCTTTAGCAAACAGGGCTCTGCTCTCTACTGCCAAATGCCTTGTCTTGGTTTGGAACACTTTCAAAATGCTGAGGACTCCCTCTCTGACTTCCCTATGTAGATGTCCTGAGCAATGAAGCCCTCCCTTCCTGTTTCCTAGCTCTCATGTGCTCTGCACACATGCCTTTCTGTTGACACTGAAGGGACCCTACCTCCCACATTTTATCTACTTGAAAGAAAGCGGAAACTATGTAGCAGAATGTTAGATTCTACTTAGAAGGAATATAGATTATTTTATAATCGAGTCTAACAATTTTAATGTAAATGGTTAGTATGAGAAAATTAACACCAGTTCTTTATATGCTAAGCTTTAAAAGTTTACCACTTTGAGGACTTATTTTCTATATAGAAAGTTTAATTATTAAAAATAATGTAGCCTATTTATCATCAGTTACAGTTCGGTGAAACATTGCTTTCACAGCAGAAAACTTTAGGAATATATATCAATACCACAAAATTTATTGTAAATTGGAGCTAAAAGTGTAGCCATGAGAGAGCACACCATACAGACCAGCCTAACCTTTGATATAGTGCGGGGATTTTTTGGCGCTTGAGCTTCAGCAGTTACATCCCCTGTGTGACTGCACAACACTGATTTCAAGTTCAGTTATCGACTGGTTATGCTGAAATATTTTCAACACTTCTCTGGGTAGAGTTTGAAAGGTCTTTTCATTACACCAAAGTTTTCTGTTACACAAAATAGTTTTTAAAGAAATTGCCTCTGTAGGATTTTTTTTTTTTTAGACTAAAACTTGAAGTGAAATCCCCTGATAATATTTATCCTGGCAAATGACAAAACCAAAGCTTGGAACATAGAAGCAAGCAATTGAAAAAGGACACAAGGAGACTATCAGCAAAGCTGCTTAGTAGAGCCAGGAAGCAGGCTATCAACACTCAGGCCATTCTTATTGTGGCTGTTATCATAATTGACAGCATGACGCAAAAGCCTATCACATGACTTCTGGGTAGATATGTAAATGGTAAGAGGTCACTTTTCACATATGCCTGCTGAAAAGGAAACACATTTAAAGGAAGTTTTAGTCAAACGAATGGCTATGCAAATGTTTAGCTTTGGAGCTAATTTTGAAATTGAAAAAAAAAAAAAATCCTTCCAATCATCTGTCTGACTTTACTATTAATTCTTTTATTTGCTTTCTCTGGTTATCAAAACAGGGCTGTATATACTGTCCTAATTAATGTCAAAATAAATTATGTTTAATCCAGCCTTAAATTCCAATCAATAAAAACACAAGGAGAAACTGTCTTCTTTCCTGAAACAAAAATGTCTTAATGGGGAAAAAATTTAAGGTGGTATTTGCAACCATTTGAGCTGCATGTGAAACTCAGGACAGGCAAGAGACAGTGAGAGGTGTGGTGGTGAGAACCAACATTTAGGAGTTAGGAGTTTGGCTTTTGCTTTGTGACAGGAACAGATGTGTCTAATTTTGGACATCTTAAAAGGGGAAAGGGTCACATTGTCTCCAGCATTCATAGACACCTTAAGTTCTATAGTCACGAGTATCTTTCATCCAGGCAGACAAAAGACTTTTTTTTTCCCCCAACTCTGAATGTATGAGTTAGAGTCAGTGATTATGATTAAGTCCATGGACTGTTCATACCCATTTAACTTTATTTCATTAAGTATCAAGAAGCATGGCTTCAGAATGACTCTAAGGTACCAGGATGGCTTTGATTTTTTTTTTTTCTTCCTGACAGTTTGCTTGTGATCATTTTCTCTGCTCATTAAAGTTCTACAGGGTCCCTTCACAGCTGCTCCATAAGCAGGTAGTTAATAGAAGAAAACTTTACCCATCCGAGCACTACGGGGAAAGCACGAACACGCAAGTGTCGATTCTTTATATGTGCTTCATTGTCCCCCTCCCCCAGTCGTGTCCCTGAGCTATCAGGAGAAAGGGGGTAACCCAAGAGAACAAAAAACATACAATTCAGGGTATTCCCTTGAGGGCCTTGTAAACCTAAAATGAAGAGGTAAATTTGCTCATGTTGGTTATTCATTTTATGGTTTATTGATTCATTTGAGAGCTATTGTCATCCATGGCACATAGACTGCCTATTTGCTGGATCTGGCAAAGCAGGTCATTTTGCTGACATTTATTTTTCCTCCCAAATTGTATGCATTTAAGAACTGACGTCCCCTTGTATAATAACGATGAAGGGCCTTCATCTGCATGTTCAAACTTGACTTTAGGCCATATTGATTCACTATGGCTCTCAGCAACTTTACACACTTATTTGTGTGTAATATCTTAGATATTTCCACCTAGGTGTTTCTGCTTATGCAGACTGTTCAGTTCCTTAATTAATTGCTAATCCCACCTGGCTTTGACTCATTCACTTTGTAATAGCAGATGACCTAGAACTTCTGACCCTCCTACTAACTGCTAGAAGTACACTTTTTTTTTTAAATGTGGTGTTAGGACCAGGGATCAAACCCAGGACTTTGTACATACCGGGCAAATACTCTAACTGAGCTCACTATAGACCAGCCTCCTTGTGCAGTTATTTGAAAGAAGTTAGTTGAAAGAAGCCAGATGGTTCCCTTCCAGGCTATTTTATTTTATTTTTGAATTGTGCTAGCACAAGGTTCCCTTCCGAAGGAGGAATGCAAGTCTGAGAGCATATGCAGGGCCTTTGCTGTCACTTCCTTTTTAGTAGTTTATAATTGTTTTTATTTGACCCCTATAGTGAATTTTTTGGGGATAGGTCCTATTTCTTTTCTTGTTTCTTCTTGGAATACTGAGCACAATGTATTTAACATAATTGGTTTTATAGATGTCCTTCTTTTATTTTGATAGGTACATATAAATTAAATAATTCAGTCGGCATGTGACTGTGTATTTTGTACAGGTAGGCATATGATTAAGTCTGACTTTTAGAGTGTAAGAATACTAGGGGTCTAGGAATTGGCCCCTCCTCTATACAACCACATGGCACTAAGGACTGGGTTCCTAAACTCATTTGCATGTGGTCATTTAAGCCTGACTGCTGTGGGACAGGAGGCCACATCTTATTTTGTAAAGTAAGATACTTGGAAAACTCACAGAAGTTTTGAACTTATGAAAATGCAATATAGATGTACCACTTAAAATCCAACTTTAAAATTTGACTAGAAATAACTGGCAGTTGGATTTTTTTTTTTTTTTTTTTTTTTATCACTGACCCTTTCTTAGAACAGTGGCTAAACTGTCAGTAACCCAAATTTTAAAATACTTATTACTTACTATTTAAACTCTATTATTACTTATTATCTAAAATCTAAGTGTAAAGTGAAATTGTGTTTAGCATCTTGAATTTATTATTAATAAAACATCTTACATGTTCTTCTAAAGACACTTAAATGCACTTAGTTGGAGTCTTCCAGTATTAAAAACTGCCCTGAATTTGCTTGGTCCAAGAGTGTCTTGATTAAATAAGAAGCTTGAGAATTGACTTCTTAGACATTCCTGCCTGGGAAATCTTTGGTGAATAATAGCTGATTATTATTTTAGTTAATTATCTGTTTCCCCTGTCTATCAAGGGTTTACTTTAATGGATAGTTTATTAGTCCAAAGATAATTAAGAAAACAACAACAATAATAAAAATAATAAAAGGGAGATACATTCTTGCTCTAGTAACTTAGCTCCAATGAGTGGTACACAAGCTGGAATAAATATCTGCCTTCTTAGATGCTTTGAAAGCATAGGCAGTACTGGCCCATAATATAGATGAATAAATTGAAATTACATTTTATAATTCTTAGTTAATAAGTGAAAATTAATATTAATTAGTATCCTGCCAACTTCTTTGGCATTAAATTATTGTTAAATACAATCTTTGATCAATTTGTATATATTTAAGCATTATTTCTATTTTAGAGAAAATATGCTTCTAAAAGACATAGGTGTGTACATGCACATGCATATGTGTCAATGATAAGTAGAAATAATTTGTTTAGTCTCTTTGAAAATGTATGTAGGAAAGTAAAGATAAAAATTATGCTTATTTTAAATGTTCAGGATGAAGCCAAGGATTGCCCCCTTGAAAGTTTTAGAAACTAGCAGAATTTACATAAGATCCTCCCAGGAAGACAGTAGTATTTCATGTCTGAGATAGCCCATGAGTGGTACTCAGGGTCTTTCGGTTTTGTGAAGAATTACCAGCTTTCAAAGAAAGCAGATGGTTCCCTAGACATTAACCTGTAGCTCGTCACTAGAATTGGTTGTGGTATGCCATTACACACATCTCACTTCTTAGAATGCTGACTCAAACCTGACTCAAAACTGGCATTCACTGGTAAAAGTGGATCAGTGGGTGGCTCCCCAAGTGACCTCCTATTATCAAGCTCTTTCAAGGCTCAGATTTTGAAATGTGTCCCACTTATTTCTGATAAGCAGTGTAGCCTAGCACATTGCATTTCTGTTTACAGAGATCTGTCTCTGTCTCTCTCTCTCTGTCTCTCTCTCTCTCTTACACACACACACACACACACACACACACACACACACACACACACAAGAAAACAACCCATATCCTGCACTACTGGATAAGCCTGTAATCCCAGTCTACTGCAGGCTGAGGACAACTTGTGTCCAAGGCTAGTCTGAGTTACATAGCAAGAATCTGTGTATACACCCTGCCCAACTGTGTCTCCTCAAACACAAATCTCACAATGCTGCTTCTCATACATTATAGACTAAACACATTTTCTTCTTTGAAATAGCAGAAATATGTCATCTGTTTAAAAATGAATAAGGATGTATTTTTCTCCTTTGTACGAATATTATGGCCTGTTTCCAGAATACCTACTTTCCTCTCTGTTTACTTTCTGATTTATAACCTCTTTATAGCATCAAGCTGGAGACTCCACCCATCCAGTCATCTCTCTCTTCCTCTCTCTCTCTCTCTTTCTCTTTCTACCCAAGGAGACTTTTTCCAGTTCTGTATAAAGTAAAACTAGTTTTATTTAAGTATTGAAGTAATTTCAATGTACCTTCAGCATTTTAGAGTATGTTTTCAGATAAAAGGCATCATTCTGAAACCTCACGATCTCTCATAGCCTGTGAAGAAACTGGAGTCTGAGGGGGAGTAGTCCACTTTTTTTTTTTTTTTTTTTTTTTTTTTTTTTTAAAGTACTGTGTTTTTGCAACAGAATTAAAGCAATTTGTCTCACTTTCCAAGGCTTTTTGGCCGTAGTCACCATCTAGAAACTCACAGAAGAGGGGCAATCCAGGTTAGGGTGTTTAGCAAGGCAGCTTCTTTTCTATGCAAGATACAGTGAATTGACAGCCTGGCTCTCCAGAGGTTAAAAACCATGGTTTGCTATTGTATCTCCACCCCCACCCCCAGCAATGCCAGATAAGTTTACTTTCTTAAGCATAAAAATAAGCAATATATCTTTTCAATAAATCTGCTAGCACTGTAGGGCAGCTGTTAACCAAACAAAGCTGGATAGGGTTCCTGGGAAGCGTTCCGAAGAGCAGAGCCGATGCACAGTTGTAGGGAGAATTTGTCTCGGGTCCCATTCTGCTCGTTCTCCACCGCCTTGACATGCAGGGAAGCATTCATAGTGCCATATCTCTGAATCCTACACAAAACCCAAGCTCATTTTTGACTCTTACTGTACAACGCCACTTTAGGTAAAATGTAATTCATAACACAAGAAACAGGACGCCTTCCAGCTTCTTTACCTGTTAGGGTCAAGGGCGGGGACCTTTCTCCTCTGAACCGCATGTCTTCCGTTTTGCAAACTGCATGCTTTACAGATATTGATTATTCTACTCTGCATAGATGATTTGGTATGTCGCATAGAAAAAAAAAGAACGCATTTTTATTTCCTTTCTAAAATAATCTCTCTATTGAACATTATTAACGTTTTTCTTTTATTTCAGCTCAATTTATACTCTAATACTGGCTAATTGTTATGTTCTAAGCACTTGTTTCTCTGTATGCTTTAATTAATAGAGAAGCATATTGCAATAACTTTTTTTTTCCTAAGGAAAAGTCTGGAAATTTTGCTTTATATAGTAAGATTCTTTTTCTTTTTGGTTTTGTGTTTGTTTTGTTTTTAATTTTGTTTTTTTTTTTTTTTTTTTTAAGTTGCCTCTTGGGGAAGCAAGGGTAATGCCATGTTCAGTACTAGTTTGCATGTGTTCATTTAAATACTAAAAACTGTAGTACTGCTCGATCCATATCTGACTGCTAGGTTTCAATTGACAGCTGAGGATTTGTGACTGGACCATGAATCAAAACGGCAGGCATTTATACCCCAGTACCAGTGAGGATACATTGGGAATTACTTGGCAAAGGTAACATTTTAATTATTTCCAACCCTACACTTACACCTAAAAATTACATGACCTAAAGTGTTTGTTTTTAATTAGTTGTACAGAAAATATGTTAAAAGTACAGTTGTTTGGCTATACCACCCCCATTCCCTTATCCCTCCCTTTAATTCTTCTAGATGCAGCATCAGTTTAACCCGAGACTGTGGCATATGTTAACTAATCATGGGAATTTCTCAATACTGTCAAATGTTTGGGACAAATTTATAACATTTTTGAGGGGGGGGTATTATGACATTTAGATTTAAGGGCCTGAAAGTGAAATCATAGCTTTAGGCAAGCTTTTTCTGCTACCTGAGGATAAAACATTGGTTTTCTACATTATTGCATTTTCTCATTCCAACCCTTTCTTCTCTTGCTAACCCTAAACCTTTTTAGTATCATTTATTCCTCTTTCAGTGGGAAAAGACTAGAAGAAAAGTTTTAAGCCTGTCAGTGTTCAAAGAGCCAGTAAATTTTGGAATGGGAAGATTATTAGATTCTGTAGTTAAAGAAGAAATTTTGTTTAAGTAGTTTAAATTTCTGTTTGCAGGCTGATATAATTAGTTGACTTAAATCAGATAAGAAAATTATTTGAAAATAGCTTTGATATTATCTTACATTTTGGTTTTGAAAAAATACTTATAATGTAGTTATTCTCTTTTCAAAGCAGTTTGTATTAAGTAAATAATTTATGGTATAATATATATTAAAACATAAAGATGAATAAACGAGAACAATGTGATCCCTTAAGTTTCCTGATAATAGAACCAACATAGTTTTTCCCTTGTTCAGACTGTAACCATTCCTTTGCATGTCTACATGAAGCATGAAGCCAGATGTTAAGATGCTAGTTATATAAGGGGTGTTTGACTCCTTAGTGGGTAAAGGTACCTGTTGTGGGCTCAAGGAGTCAAACACCTCCATTTACTCAGATAAAAACTAAAAAGGCTACCTAGATTTTGTTTTTTGACTCATAAGAATTATTCAGCCAGGCAGTGGTGGCACACACCTTTAATCCCAGCAATCAGAAGGCAGAGGCAGGTTGATCTCTTTGAGTTCAAGGCCAGCCTGATCTACAGAACAAGTTCAAGGACAGCTTGGAAACCCTGTCTTGAGAAACAATAACAAACAAAAAGTTAGATTTGTTCATTTTCTATGTGAGCGTTTTTCCTGCATGTGTGTGTGTTCTGAGTGCTTGCTTGGTGCCTGCAGGGTCAGAAGAAGCCACTTGAGTCTCTGGAACTGGGGTTACAGATGGTTGTAAGCCACCAGGTGGGTGCTGAGAATTGAACTTCATTCCCCAAGGAGAGCAAAAAGTGCTCTTAAATGCTTAGCCATCTTTAACCCTTCATTTGGTTTTTTACAAATTCCATGGCATTTAATTAAGTTAACAATTTAGCGATTATAATATGACTTTTCCCATGTTTAAATATCGGTAGGAATAATCATCTCTAAAAAAGTCTGTTGGGATGTTCTTCCCCAAGAAGTTTATATCAGTAGGAAAAAACCCTATATAATATATACTTACAAATGGAAGATAAACTCAGTGGAAGTATCTTATTTAAATAATCTCAATGATTAATGGTACTTAATTAAATTGAATGAAAGTGGCTTAAAAATCTGAATTAGTAAGCTATTTAAAGTTAATTTAATTAAATTTGATAGCACAATATTTGCATTAGTTTATTAAGTAACAATCCTATATTCCATGCTTTGCCTATCAGCAGAATGGTCTGTGTTCACAAGGACTGCAGATTAGATGGAAGGTGATACTTATGTTTCTCAATGTTACTCCAGCTACTTCCTAATCAGTAGATTACTGATTGGCATTTCTTTAATCTAGAAAAGGAGAGTATCTTTGAAGCACATCAAAACCAAAAAAGATGTAAGTTTTTGGTGTCATAATATATTTTGAACTAGGTCTGAGTAGTTCTGGAATCAGAACTTGTTATCCCCTAAAAGGAAAGGTCACACGCACATGTGAGAATGAGTACAATGACTAACAGTCCTTGAGGAAGAAGTATTGTTCATCTTGTAGCTCCCAGTTCATCTTCCCTTTCCCAGCCAGAAAATCGATGTGACCACCAGCCTGCAGATGGTAGTGAATCTGAGGTGGGGGAACCACGTGAATTTATTGATTTCATTTTTTTTCCCTTTCTCAGAGGATACTAATCTATCTTTGGATTAAGAATGGCTTAACTATGTGAGATGGCCTGAGCCCCCAATAAAGCCTTGAAGTTCACTTTGGTTTGCATCTGCTCTTCTTGTCATGACTCAAGAAGGCACATCTTCTGTGTTTCAGGTGTATCTATACATTCTGCATGGGTTTTCTGAGTTGGGGTGGGTGGGGTGCTGTCCTAAGTACATTGTAGTCACACTCACAGCTCTTTGAATCTATGTGTCACAGTTCTGAATAAACACGCTCATCGGAGACAGAAATTCTCTTTGCTTTGCTACCATTTTCAAAAATGGACACTGTAGGGCATGGTGGAATAAGCCATTAGTCCTAGCACGAGTTGGAGGCAGTGAGGTTTATGTTTTTAAAGCTTCGTGGATTTTGTTTCTAGATAGAATATGGAAGAGAAAAATCAACTGACTGTACCATTGTCACTTTTAAGAGAGTTAGGGACAGTTAACGCTGCAGAGTTATCTCATTAGTTTGACAATATTAGGGAAAGAGATTTGTTCAGCCAGAGACTTCAATGACTGAGCTTTGATGTTGTAGATGAAGAGCACATTGCAGGTCATACCTGTTGTGGCTCCTGCTTGTTGTTTTTAATATGTTTTTAATTGAAATAGAACTAGATCACTTCCCCCTGCCTTTACTACCTCTGGCCCTTCCCAGCTACCCATCTTCCAACCCCTCCCATGTTCCTCCACACTCAAGTTGACAGCCTCTTTTTCTTTGATTTTTACACACACACACACACACACACACACACACACACACACACACACCACTCACACATGCACTTATGCACAAATATGTTTATATACAAAGGCAATCCATGGAGACTGTAGATAGAAAGATCATAGCAAAGCAAGTGTTTGGATTTGCTTTATTTTGTTTGGGTCTGTTGTTGCCCTCCTGAGGTATTTCCATGTCAAATGCAGCTTGTTGGGGGAGCTTAAAATGGCAGGGATCTGCTTGCATCCTACTCAAGCTGGAGATCTGCTTGCTACATCCCACCCCAGCTCAGAAATGCCTTCAGGCACCATGGCTGTCTGTTAGGCCAGGTTTTGACAGATCTTCCATGTTACAGTCCTGAAGGTGTTTTCTTGCTTTGACCTTAGAATTTTGTGAAGTGTGTTTCTGTGTGTGTGTGTGTGTGTGTGTGTGTGTGTGTGTGTGTGTGTGTTTAGCAAGTATGTAAACTCAAAAACTAAGGGCTTACTTAAATCTAGAGAGAATGAAATTTCCTGCCTAAGAAAATGGTTTGTTGCCAGAGTTGATCCTGAATAAAATACTGAAGGCCTTGCTTCCACTTCAGTCAGGGTGCATTGACCTTCTAGGAGGATGGTAGGTGATGAATTGCTCGAGCTAGGTGCTGCTATGATTGTTCTTTGTCCTCCTCCATGTGTAAGTTCTGGGTTTTTTGTTTGTTTGTTTGTTTGTTTAGTTTTTTGCTTTTTGGTTTTGTTTTTGCACAAGTGAGTTGTGTGGACATAAACGCATACAGCAGTTACTTGCTAACTAGCTTGCTGTCTTGAGACCCTAGCCAGACTCTTGCTTGCACTTTCATGTATGAAAGAACAGCATAATTGAGTGAAAAAGAAAGCTGAAGGACAGTCTAAGAATAATATAAACATGTTATGTTAGAACATTGGATGGGTGCTTTATGCAAAAGAGAAACTGGATTTATTGTTTCATTCTCCCTTCTCCCCCATCACCCCTTTAAGAAAATGCGAAGCCACAAGTGAGCTGTTGTATGTGTTTGATGGCTTATATAAACATAGAAGAAGCCTTCAGATGGCTAAAATAAACATGCGCGTGTTACTGAAGGATATGTTTACACAAGCCGCTTGCTCAGCCCCTGAAATAATGGATAAATGAAGATTTTACTGAAATAATTGGGAGGATTTTGTTTGTTTGTTTGTTTCGCTTATACCATAATTGCATGGCACCAGAGACGTTTATCAGGGATTTTCCGTGTTACATATGTTGCCCGGTTCCTTTCTATGAGGTGAATACTTCATCCTGTCATTACTTTACACATGTTTTTGTAAGAAATTGTCGTTTATTACTGCAATTCCAGAAAGCTGCCTGATTTCCCAAGAGAAGTTTAGCAGCCAGTAAAGGTTATTTGGATCTGGCTGGTCCTGAGAAAGAGGGCAAAATGAAGGGGCAATAGTGAATACTTCATGCTTAGTAGTTACTGTGAAAAACCTTTTACCAATTTCCCTCCCACAGCCATACTGTTTTCTTTATAAAATGTATCCTCTCTATCAAAAGACTTAAAAACAAAAACTTAAGAGTAATTTTAATAGGTTGTACACTGTATGTGTTCGCATATGTATGTTTATATATAGGTATGTGGCATGTATGTGATAAAGCGTGCGTGCACCCCTGTCCTTATGTAGAATTAAGTTAACTTTTATCTCACCATTATACTTGGCCATCCGTGCACATCTCCTAGGTTAGCATTTCCTGCTCAGGGTTTCTTATCTTGATACAAAAAGGCAGTCCTGCAGCTGGGTTGTTCCTGTAGTTCCTGAGGGGAGCTAGTTTCCAATCGCTGAATCTGCTTTTCAGCTGTCAGCTCTAGAGTGTTTGAACTGTTCAATTTTTTACACTGCATTACAGGTTCCTAGCACTCTCTGGGACTCTAATAGAAGTGCTGATAATATAGATGAATAGGAGACTCGTAGGTTGTGACCACTGGTAACAGGACAGCTATCTGCTGTTTTTCTTTGCATTTATCAGTCTCTTGAGAGCAGCCACTTTCCATCCTCATCATTATTACCTGCACCTGTTAGGAAAT